TTGTGATCTCTGGGATATAGCCCTAAAAGTGCTATTGCTGGGTCAAAGGGTGTGCACATTTTTATAGCCCTTTGGGCATAGTTCCAAATTGCTCTCCAAAATGGTCAGATCATTTCACAACTCCACCAACAATGTATTAGTGTTCCAATTTCCTCACATCTTCTCCAACATTTTTTCATATGGCTTTAATTGCTTCATCTGAGAACTGCCTATTCATATCCTTTGACCATTTATCAATTGGGGAATGACTTGTATTCTTATAGATTTGACTTAATTCTCCATATATTTTAGAAATGAGGCACTTATCAGAGACACTGGTTGTAAAAATTCTTTCCCAATTTTCTACTTTCCTTCTAATCTTGGTTGCATTGGCTTTGTTTGGGCAAAAACTTTTCAATTTATTATAATCAGAGTTATCCATTTTGCATTTTGTAATGTTCTCTATCTCCCGTTTGGTCATGAATGATATCTTTGACTCTTGACTCCCCATCACATTCAAGTGGCTTACCAAGTCATGTTAGTACTATCTCCACAATCTCTTTCATTCATACCACCTGTCATTCCAATTACCTGGATTATTGAAATACCTAACAGGTCTTCCAGACTGTATGATCTCCCCCTAATCTATCCTTCATACTAATGACAGATTTTTTTCTTTATACAAGCATCTGGTTATGTCACTCTTCAGTTCAAAGACTTCTGAATAAAATTCATAGTCTTTTACCAAGCGTTCAAGGCCTTTCACAATCTGGCACCACCCAACCTTTCTTTCTTTTCCTTTCTTTCTTTTTGAACTTTTATTTTATTTCAATTTACAAACATTTCTTCCCTTCATAAATTGATACTAAGTGATATCCTGGTACCTCTTTGATTTTACAATTTTTTTTCAGTGAAGAAACTCTGGTAACAAATAGACATAATCAAAAAACACATTCCACGTTGGCCGTATCTCATTCTCCATTACATCTCTACCAGGAGGTGGTAGCATTTCATCATTGGTATTCTGAAATCATGGTTGGTCACTGCCTTGTTTAGTGTTCTTTTTCAAAGTTATTTTTGCAGTGTTGTTATTATATACATTGTTCTCTTGGTTCTGCCCAGTTTAAATCAGTTTAAATCTTCTCATGTTTCTCTAAAAGTGTCTTTCATTATTTCTTTCAATGCAAATAATATTCTATTACATTGTTCTTCATTCATTTTTCAGTCATGTCCAACTCTTTGTGACCTCATTTGGGGTTTTCTTGGCAAAGATA